AGTCATTTTCCTAAGATAAATTTCTATATATATATACATATATATAAACTTTACTGGTTTTTGTTTCTCTGGAGAACCCAGTCTAACACATTTGGTACCGAGAGTGGGGTCTAGAGAGACAAAATCATAAGGATGGGCTTCCTAAATTGGTTCTCCAGTTTGTTTAATCTTGAAGACACTAGTGACCCTGTCTCTGTTAGAAAAGAGGGCCCTGCTAATCCATGGCGTGAGGTGACAACATTAATATGTGAAATAGCACCACCAATAGATCAAGTACTTGTGAGAAGTGACAATCTGGGTGATCAGATATTTGATACTTTTCTGCAATTTTGTCAGCATGACAAGTATAAGGAAGCTGGTTGGTTGGTCCTACTTACACTAGACAAAGTGGTGAAAGAGGGAGATGATCTCAGAGCTGCTGAGTGTCGGCTTAAGCACCACATAAAAGACCTCAGTGCTTCCAGTTGTGCTCTGAAAGAAAACCTTATATCTTCTAGTAACAGAGCAGACATTGCTGAAAACCAAACCCAGAGACTTATTGTAAGGGTGACTGAATTACAACGCCAATTAAATTGCCAATCCAGACTGGTGTCTGATGTTAAAGTGAGGACATTGATTGGAAATAAATGGGATCCTGAAACCTGGAATGGGGACATATGGACAGATAATCAGGAAGATCAGCATATGGAGCCTGTAAATTCTTTTGAATCCCTCCCATCTGAAGATTGCTGTAAAACCATTATCCCCTTCCCCTCAATTTGATGGGACTAGCCAAACCGGTCCTGCTGGGTCATTGCCTGAGGCAAAGGCCATGAAAGACATTTCTGAATGCTTACAGGAACTGCCTCAATCACCCATTGTTGCTGCTAGACCAATAACTAAAGTTAAGTCCAAGCGAGCCCCAAAAGGTGAAATAGAAAGTGTGACTGAGGAGGCAGTATGCTATACCTGAAAAGACCTACTTGATTTTGCTAACATGTACAGACAGAAACCTGGAGAATATGTATGGGAATGGCTACTGAGGGTGTGGGGTAATGGTGCAAGGAATGTAAGATTGGACCAGTCTGTGTTTATAGATTTAGGCCCACTAAGTACGGATTCTTCATTCAGTGTTTCAGCTCGAGACATTAGGAAAGGATCTAATAGTTTATTTGGTTGGCTTACTGAAACAAGGATTATGTGGTAGCCTACCTTGGGAGCTCTGGTAGCATAGTGGCTAAGGCACTTGACTGCTAACCAGAAGGCTGGTCGTTCAAACCCACCAGCCACTCCTCGGAAGGAAGGTTGGGCAATCCTACTTCCGTAGTGATACTGCCTCGGAAACCCAAGGAGGGGTCGCTA